AAACTCTAATACTAAAACCTAACCTAACCGCGGTAAAAAACACCCTCTAAAAATTTTAAACTTTCATATCGAAATGGGACCAAATTTCAGCATCATCTGATTTCAATATCATCTGCGACATATATTAATATGGCCAAATATACATGAAGCCTAAAATAATCAAATATTTTATGCAGTATAACTATTAAACTGCAATAATCAAACCTTCAATAGGTCTATCAGACGACCTGATATTAGATGAGGTGCTTGGAAAGGATAATTAGATACAATAGATATAAAACCTCCACATGTGTACCCAGTTTTGGGTCCAATAGTTTTGAAAATTATAAAGTTTTATATGTTCAATTCTTTTCAAAATTATTGGACATATGTCCAATTCCAATGCTGAGTACGCCCTCTATAAGTACATACTCTCTAAAATTCTGGTCCAAATATATCCATGACATCCATAAATGTATTGTTTTCTAAATGCACATTATTAAAGTTTAGCCCCAAGAGTGTATACTTATAGAGGTTTGTAGCTTAATATATACGTTTTCTCAGATCATAGCATAAAATCATTCATGAACAGAAGAGAGCCTGAATAGGTTCTTAATATAGTGATTTAAAAAGCATTATGTAAGTTAAATTCGTATAAGAATGAATTTGATAAGTAATATATCTATTTACTGTATTTATTGAAAATAAAATGAAAATTTGATCGATACTGCTGTAGCAAAAAAAGATAAAATAATAAAAAAAAGATAAAATAATAATAAATAATAAAATAGTTTTACATGTTATTTTACGTACTTACGAAGACTTATTCATGCTTCAAAAAACCATTAAGATGGTTTAACGATATTTCAACCCCGATTAATTATAATTCAGACATTAATAGTCGTGGAGCATTGGCAAAAGATTCTGAACCCTGTCGATATAATAAAGACCTTCATTATAGGTTTATGTCGACCCTTTATTTGCGAATTTTGATTACCTTAAAAAAATATATATTTAGCAAAAGTTTTTACAAGCAAATAAAGCTCAAAGAAGTATATC